CAGATGGGAAGGACAATTTTCTTAACCCTTTAAAATCCATTTTCTGTTTTGATAAATATAAAAATCCTACAGCTTACTTTTAAAAAATTCAAAATAGGGAACTTTCATTTTCCAAATGAAAACCTTCTACTTTTTGGAATTGTGAATTTACATTTAAATTACCATATGACCCCTGCCTCCATGTGCATTGAGAAGCACTGGAGGGGTTGCAGAGAATTCACAGAAGGTGGAGGGCCCATACCAGGTCTGTGAACTGATCCGCACAGGCCATCCGAATCAGCTCTGGCGTGGCTGGGCTGTTCATCATCAAGGTCAGGCCAGGCCCCTCTCCCTGCGAGCTGCGGCCACAGCGTCAGTTACGGTGAAGAACACAGAAGACCCCAGAAACATTCCTGACTCACCTAGGCCCTGGGGGTCAAGGAGACAAAATAAAAAGAGTATTTTTAAGAAACATACCCTAGGATATCCAGCCCATGGGTGGTTGGGGAGGGGGTGGGCACATCGACCACTTGCCTGAGCTGATTTAGGGAAGCATCTGAAGGGGTCCCCCTCCCTTCCATCCCTGGGGCATCCAGCAAGTAGGCATCTGGGGAAGCGCAGGGTAGGACATCCATGATGTTCATGCTGTACCCTCAGGCCTGGCCCAGTGTCTGACTCAAGTGGGGCTCAACTAGTGTTTGCTGAATGAATCCACCATTGATTGAACATGCATCCATTCTGGCCAACAGCTTCTTGCCTCTTCCAAATCGTGGCATATCTGGGCTGATTCTTTTTTTAAGAAGATGGCCTTTTTACCTGTCTCTCACGACCAGTTCCAGAGCAGCTCTGAGCTCTGCTGCAGAACTTGGCTTCTGTTTGTGTAGGAAACTGTCTGGGTCCCGGAGGGGCTCTGGAGGAGGGTAGGCCCAGGCAGCAATTCAGAAGCCTGCAAAGCTTGCCAAATGGTGAGAGACTGGCTGAGGCCAGCATCCACATGCCCGAAGGGACCGTGTGGGCAGGGCTGGCAAAGCAGGCCAGAGTTTCAGGTATTACCCACAGCACAAAAGGGGCTTTTAAAGGATGAGGAGAATTTGCTTTTTGGCTGACACTCCTAGTCGGGCCCATGCCAAGGGTTTATCCTCTGTACTTGGAATTTAAAAAAATTACAGGCTTTAAAAAGCTTTTCCCAAATTATAAACTTAGAGTACTATAATGAATCGAAGCTTTTTCAAGGTACTTATGCCCTTTCCAGGAGCTTCTGATGTGTCCTCCTGGGGGTGGTGCCTGCCACTGAGAGTCTCTGGATTAGATGTCCCCTGGGGAAAAATGCAAACATCCCAGGATGTGGGCCCTGCACAACTGTGTCAAGGGGATGCCCATTCATTCTGTCTTATGTAGAAGGCACCATCTCATGCACTGTCTGGCACTGCTCCACCTGGCTGTGCAGTTGACTCCTGCACAGGGGCTGTCTGGCCAGGGGTGACATCTAGCCCACACTCTGCTCTCCAGGCCCTGACCTGTGAGGGGCATGTCCAGCTGGAGGAAGGGAGCCTTTCTCTAATGTGCCCAAAGATGCTCTGTGGGCTAAAGCTGCCCTGACATCAGGTCAGCAATTTACTCTCAAATGATTCAGAGAAAATAGAATTCTTTGTATTGTACTTGCAACTTTTCTGTAAATTTTTGATTGTTTCAAAATCTAAAAATTAATTAAAATTTTTGTGATCAACTATTCTTGAGAAGAGGAGACAAGAACGAGCTAAATAATAGCCTTCAGATATGACATGGGTTGTTCTGAGGAGGGTCTTTTTCATCTGCTGAGAGACTTAACCCATGGGAGATTCATGTTAGAGGTATTTAATTTAATTTCACTTATTTATTTCCTAAACAAATCTTAGGTGAGTCTATCTGCAAAAAGGGTTCATGGTAGACACAAATACAATAATGATACCATTCAAATATGAGTAAAAGATGAGAGCCAGGAAATGAGATGAAATGAATAGTAAAAGAATAGGGATCTACATATAATAAAAACTAAATTAAGCATAAAAATTAACTTTGAGCTTCCTGGTTGCCAAGGCAAAGAAATAAGGTTTCTGAGAGCTTATTATACAATAAAAAGAAGCATAGCAGAGAAAACAAGTTTTTCATAGCTTTGATCTCTAAACGTGATTGACAATGCAGTAATTTAAATGGACATTGTAAAACAAATGAGCTATATCTTTAATAGCATTTTACAAAAATGTAGGGACTCTTTTTTTCATATAGCTATTTATATCACCCTCAGTAAAAATTAGGAGAAGACTACGGAATTATAGCTTTGTGGAGGTATTTCTATTAAGAACTACAGTAACAAAATCCTGATATAAAGTATTTTGGTTATTTGATTTGATACCTGGGCAAGGCTTACAGAATTAAACTAGTTTGAAACCATGCTAAGTATGGGAGAATTTATGCTAGTTTAAAATATAAACTAACTCTTATACTAGTTTAGTGCAATGATGATCACCTTCATCATTCCTGACCCAGAGCCCAGCTCTGCTCTTCATTAGCTGTGCAACCTCGGGCAAGTTACTTAAATGCTCTGAGACTTAGTTTACTTGCTTCTAAAATGGGAAAATTAAATGCCTTCTCATAGGTTGTTGAGACTTAATTAGGGACAGTTAGAATAATGTCTGGTATATTAAAAGAACCCAATAAATGTTAGCTACTGTTATTACTTCTGTATTTTGCTAAAAGATTATTAGCTTCTGCAGACTATGGAAAGAAAGGCTACACAGTGTAATGGGGGCATGGCCTTTGAGTAAAAAAAAAAAGAGAGAAAAAAAGGTTAACCAGAAGATGATCAAGTTCTGCTGCTTTTCTTGGTACCACCACTCTTTTGAAAGCTGTTAGGAGGGCGGTGAAATGAAAAAAGCGAAGACGCTTGCATGGGATAACCTTGAGTTCAGACTCTGCCTCCTGCCAGCAAAGCTTGGGCAAACTACCTAACCTGTCTGAGTCTGTTTCCTCATTTATAAGAAGGGCTGAGAATCCTCCGCTTGAAGAGTTTGAGGAAGAGTAAATGAGATAATATATGTAAAGCACCTGACCCCAGGCTGTCCCGTCGTCCCATCCCTCGACACACACTAGTCCCACAGCAATCATCACTAGTTTATCTCATCACTCTTTCTAGCTGAGCTCAGACATGGTCCAAAATGCTTCTCAAGAGAGCCCTCAGACAATCCTTACCCCAACCAATCAGAAATGAAATTCATTTGTGATCCTGTGGTTATACTACGAAGTTTAAAGTATGTTTAATTGCAGATCACATGTAAGAAACAGTTTAACAGAAAATGTTTTGCTACTTTAACGAGAACATTTGCAGTAACAGAAATGAAATTCATTTGTGATCCTGTGGTTATACTACGAAGTTTAAAGTATGTTTAATTGAAGATCACATGTAAGAAACAGTTTAACAGAAAATGTTTTGCTACTTTAACGAGAACATTTGCAGTAACGTGGTGTCAGTTCTAGCAATAAGGCTCTTGCCCTAACCCTTCAGCCTGAGCCCCACCATGGTTGGGTCCCAAGTCCAGCCATGAGCCACCGTTGCATGAGTCTTTCTCCCTTTCTCCTTCACTGTCCATCCCTCAACCATCCGCCATAGCTTTCCAAGTTCAGAGTCCTTTGTCTCTGTTGCTGTTGGCCTGACCTCTACATCTGTAGGCTGCTTGTATCCTGTGGAATTCTATCAGTACACCCGTTTGCCAGACTAGATTTCCATTTTTGCCTATTGCTATAAGGAAATTTCACCTTTCTTAGTAAAGATAAAGCTTAGAACTCCAGGGTTGGCTCTGGACGGATCATATGGCCTTGCCTTTTGCCCAAAACTCATCTTCCCTTTGGGGTCTATGTCTAATCCTACCATTGCCACACTGGCCCCAGGGGGCACAGTTTCCCCTTTTTTTTCTTACACTGGACAGAGGGCTCTTGGGTTGATTTTCCACAGCCTAACTAAAAAAAAGTTAGAATATTCATATAAGACTTGGATAAATGACAGGAGGTAATGAAAGGAGAACAAAAGAAGATAATTTCATTGACCATGTTTAGAACCCAGCTTACTTCTCAGCCATTGTTGGACCAATACATGGATCCCTTTCTTCCTAGCTCCTGGTCCACCTCCTCATGATGGTTACCATCATTTCTATCCACCAACCAGGACTGCCTGTGCCTTCCATGGTCTTGACGTGTGAGATTCTGGTTTCCTAAGTTTACCCCCTTTCTCTGGGTGATCGACGCTGGAATGGCCTCCCCATTCAAGCAAGATCCAGCCTACCTCCAGATGTGAGCTGTCTTTACAGACATCACCAGGAACCACACTATCCTCCTAATAACCCCAGGAGTTGTGCCCGTGTATGCTCATATGGTAAGAGTGGGGTTAGTTTTGTTGCTTCCAGTGGGATCTCCCTGTCTGTTTGGACAACTCCCATGTCTGATGTGGTACCTTGCTTGACTCCCCATGCTATTTGTGGGGCTCTTTTGGTCATCTCTGGCTTGACTCACAGCTTCTATAACCAAATCCGCATTTGACAGGAGAAGAGGGCCATAAGAGGCAGAACATAGGGCAAGACTTCTGGAGAGCAAGAAATATGAGAAAGCACCAAATGCTGCATTGTATTAAATACTGAGACTGAAAGGCGTAAGCGCTAACTCCATGCTGGATGACACTAAAAGCTTTGCAAAAATCCATCTATCCTGAGCTGTCCACATTGTGCCAGGACCATTAATATCAAGCTTGTAAGCCTGTGGCTGATTTATGTGTAATAAGGCATTATGTGTAGGAAATTATGGGACTCATCTCAAAATTGTCTACCTTTCTGTCATATCATAGCATTTCTCCCCAATGACAACCTTTCAATGGAAATGTAATAAAATACATAATCGTCTCCATATGAAACATATGAACAACTGAACACACCTTTCAAACCTTCTTTTCTATTATAAAAGAGAATAATTTTAGGACAGTATTAGATACCCCTTACCTAAAATATCCAGGAGCAGAGAGACTAATGCTTTGAGTAAAAGCTTGATTAACCTGCAGAAGAGGAATATTTTCAAAGGACTTTATATACAACTAGATAAAGGCAAAGCATGGGCAAATAATAATTTTCTGGCTGTCATACTTTTCCTTAGTATTGGGAATATTATTTTGCTGGAAGAACAGCAAACATAGTGGCCAGGTGGGTTCCGACACATGCTCAAGAAGTGCGAATGGCTTGTCTGACTTCCCCCGGGAGACGAAGTCACTGTTTTGGTGGATCTGTTTAAAGAACAAGCAGAAAAGTGAAGGTAAACATCTAAGGTGGAAATTTAAATGCAGGGTCCTCAAGCAAAATCTGACCAAGGATTTCCATCTTTCCATCCCTGTACATTGGAATTTGGGCCTAGAGTGGAGCTACAGCCATGGTTGAAATAGGTACACGTATTTTTAAGTTTCAAAGGAACCAAGTGAAAAACGAGGTAGCTTTGGTAGGTCACTCAAGTGGCTGCCAGCGTAATTCACCCGTCACTATTCCTTGAGGGTTTCCCACGAAACTTCAAAGTCACTCCCCAACAATACTAGTTAAGCACTCTCAGGCTTCTGCAGAACCTCTCCTCCCTCAATTTTAAAAAATCTGCATCATGTTCTAAGATGAAACCTTTATTCTGAAAAAAGAGCAACCACCCAGGGAATAATTACTCCATGAATGTTTGAAATGCGTGTGTGGAAAACAGCAAGCATTCGTAGCCTTAACTGAAGGTATTTTTCAAAACTTGATCCAACCAAATAGCTTCTCCTGCAAGAATTCCCTTTAAATGTACTGCTTTTTCCCCTCTAATTTTCTAAAAGTGAACTACATGGTGTATGCTCTACCTTCATTAGCTAATAACCAGACACATGCTAAGTTGCATTTAAATAACAACAGCATTTAACACCGCTGAGCTACTTTTCCACGTGAGAATAAATATCCAGATAAACCAGAGATTTCTGTTCAATAGATCTAGTTGCAAGATGAATTATGACACATGCTAAGTTGCATTTAAATAACAACAGCATTTAACACCGCTGAGCTACTTTTCCACATGAGAATAAATATCCAGATAAACCAGAGATTTCTGTTCAATAGATCTAGTTGCAAGATGAATTATTGATTTATATCTGTTCCTCATGTTTTTGCTACTTAAACCATGGTCCAGCAGCACAGATGTTACCTGGGAGCTTGATGGAAATGCAGACTCTGAGGCTCCACCCAAGACCTGTGGAATGAGAATCTGCAAGATGCCCAGGAGATCTGTCTGCTCACCGACCATGGGGAAGCACTGCCCTCAGGAAGCTGTGTGGGACGCGGCACACCACGGAACAGGTGCTTCCAAGTGCCCCACAGGAGTTCTGCAGGCTTCAGCACACCTGGTACTCACCCAGTCCTCCCAGGTGCCATTAGGATTCTGGCTGATGATGGGTTCAAGACATTTCATGAGAGTCTGGTAGGCATTCTGCAACTGGAAAAGGACAGAAGAGTGACAGGAAATTAAATAGTGAGGACTTCCAAATGTACCTGTGTTACGCTCTTCAGGCCTTGGGCATCTTGTCTGTGACCTGCAGATACGAGCACTAGGTGACCACACACCCCACTTTGCCCAGGACAACCCCCATTTACACTTGTCTTTGTGTTAGGATCAATGTCTCCCTTTGCTCTCCAAAGTCTCTTGGTTAGGATAGTACGGTCACCCTAACCAACACCTACCTTGAAGTGTTGTTTGAGACATTAACCAAGATTAGGTAACTACAGCACTGGCTATTATCTCAGTTACTTTACTCTAGCAGCGCTCACTAAAGTTCTGTGGAGGAAGTGCTTGGAACCTGAATTGTTCCAGAGTTACCAGCTTAGAGCAAGTACTCTTGGCATTGGTATTCACGTTCAGCTGACCAAACCAGGGAGATCTCCATCTGTCCCTTCCAAAATGGAACATCATACTTGCCCTCTTCCAGACACCAGGATCTTCGGCTCAACAAGACTTCTGCTCTCTGTCCTGCTGAGAGGGCAGTCTGGGGAGATCTTTGTCCTCAAGTAAGGAGGTCTTTCATGTAGGGGCTTCTTATAACTATGTTTTGCTTGGGTATAGAAAGTGAAATGGCAAGGTACCTGTTTACATTTGAAGCCTTCAAAGAGATAACCTCCTTGTTCTTGAATACAGAGCTCAAGATAACAATCTCTTTTGAAAACTCCCCCCAAATCCCCTTCCTTCTGTGGGTTCCCATGGCCAGGCTGGGAATGATTGGGTCATATTACATTCTATACTTCAAATTATGCTTCAGGAAAAGAGGCAACGTTTCCTGCCTTCATGAAGGTAGGGTCTTGGAGTGGTGTTCTTAAAATGTATTGAGGGAAAACAGAATTCATGCTGCTAAATAATACTCTGGTGCCCACTATTCTGGGTGCAACAGAGAAACACTAGGAGATGGTGTTTTACTCTCCTCTCTGGTGCTCTTGTGAAAAAGCATTGGGAGAAGTTTTCTAGACTAGAGAAGAGGGCTCCTCTGGAAAAGGGCTTGGAGATATAGAAGAAGGTTGGGAGTCAGTAAAATCATCAACTGCGCAGCTTTCTCACTGACATCTGCACCAGTGGAGGCCGTGGTGGCAATGGTGTTGGGCACTGTCAAGGAATTCATCTCACCAAGGTGTATGTAAGACATTGGTATCTTTAACTCTCAGCTGGCTACCTGCACAGAAAAACAAGCAGACAGAATGTGCCAGTCCAGGGTAAAACTGGGACAACAATTTAAACTTATTAGAATGTCTTTTTTTTTTTCAGCTTTAAAAAGTGATAAGAAGATTTCATAATCTATGGTTTGGGTAGACATATACAAACCAAAACTTGTAAAGAGTTTTAAAACTCTTTAAAATGGGAAGTGCTTCTCTTTACCCCAAACCTGTCAAGTGCCAGGAGTCAGGAAAAGTCCCCCAAAGCCACATGGTAGGGGTTTAAGCAGGCTTTACTGGGGAAAGGGGAATCTTGCAAAGAGAAAGCACAGATGCTCCATCCTTCATCACTCACAGTGATACCTGCCAGACATGCAGCAGGGGTCCACATTCTCAAAGAGGGACCCCCAACCCTACCATAGGTTCCCTATTTATAAAGTGACCATGAGAAAGCAGGCTTGGTGGTGGGTGAATGAACAGGTTCTCTGGCACCAGGAAGTGCAAAATTCGGGTGCTAATTATATACAGGAGTTGTCTGGGAATGCCAGCTGCCCAGTACCTGAGCTTTGGAGTGTTGTGAGAATTTATAGCTGCACCAGTCAAGGGTCAGGAGCCACTGGTCCCTTGGGAAGCTGAGTTTTGGTGAAGCCCCTCCCACTAGAGAAGGGAGGTGAAGCCTCTTCCCAAGTTCCAGTTGGCTCATTTTCAGGTAATCCAGAATGAGCTCCTAGGGGCACTGTGGGCATTTGGTCATTGTAGCGCAAAGCCCAAAGGTGATAGAACACAGACCTGGGAATAATTTGTAAAGCCTAATTTTGGCCAATAGTAAAAGTGAAACCACCTCTCTCCTAGGGGCACTGTGGGCATTTGGTCATTGTAGCGCAAAGCCCAAAGGTGATAGAACACAGAGCCTGGGAATAATTTGTAAAGCCTAATTTTGGCCAATAGTAAAAGTGAAACCACCTCTCCCACCTGTACCATTTTGGTGTTAATATCTTGTCCCAATTCAACTCCGCCATGAGCAACCAATACAGACCCATTGGTGTAGATATGAACCACAGCAGCAACAGGGAAATAAAATTAGAAATCTGCTCTTCCTGCCACCTGTATGTGACTCTGACAGTGAGGCAGTCCCAAATGAATTACCAAAAGCCACTGAAATAAAGCCACAGTTCCACTGGTACAGGACTAATGTTTCTCAAAAGGTGCTAATGAGAATAGCAAAGGTGCCATTCCATGAAAACTGTGAAGTAAAGAAAAGCCTAGATGTATATATATTTGTTAGAATTTAGCCACGATCTGTTGCATGGTCCTCTCACCATTTTCAGCAGCATTAATTAGTTAGACTTTGAATGCCTGCTGGGCATGTCCTCCTTTCTGAGTCTCTCCTCGTGTAAGATTGAATTCAACAAGGAGGCTCTTCACTCAGATTCTCCTACTCTGCAAAGCAATAACAAATTGACCCAAATTGTTGACAACCAGTGGAATTTAGAGCTCATTGTTCTTTGTTGGATTACAGCCTCTCTTGACCCTTAGTTGTCATTTGGGGATTGACACTCTGTTCTAATTAATTCTTTTTGAGCATGTTATTCTTTATCGATTCTGGGGAGCAAAAAGTATGCAGAGAATTGTAGAATAAAATACAGCAAAGTTTAAATAACAAAACTCATTTGTCCGTGATCTCATTGCTCACAGACACTGTTATTATAAGAAAAATGGAATACAGCTAATTTCAGTCCACAATCCCTTACCTGTAATTCTGTACTCCCCAAACTCTGAAAAACCTATTTGGTAGAGAAATGTGACCCAATCTCATCCAATAAGGTGAGATTCATGGACTTTTAAAAAAATGTCACTTAGTGTGAATCATCATACCTTTCCCTGCAGAAATATTACCATGCTTGAATATGGTATGTTGCCCAAGGCTCTGCTGAGGATTTTATGTAAAAAGTCACCACCTCTACAAATCACTCATTAAAATACAGATTTTACCAGGTGGGTACAATTTATTAATCTGTGATCTCAGGTTATTTTCTCTCAGAGGCAGAACAGAGAGAATTGGGTTCGGATCCCATATAGGGATGGCCGGTTTGCTCACTGGCTGAGTGTGGTGCTGACAACACCAAGTCAAGGGTTAAGATCCCCTTACCGGTCATCTTTTTAAAAAATAAAAATAAAATAAAATAAATAAAATAAAAATCCCACTAACATTAACTTTCAGGGATTTGTCTTTGCTTAAATTTGATGGCACTTTGCTTAAATTTTAAAAGATTCACTATTAGCTTCTGGCTTTGTCTTTGCTTAAATTTGATTCACTATTAGCTTCTGGCTATTTCCGTACTGCTAATGTAAAATGTATTCTTTGGGACATCTACAGACGACAACAATGAATAGCTGTCAGAAATGTTGGTGTCTTCTCTGTTGTTTTCCAGTGATTCCACTGTGCCTTCATATAAGGAAATATACAATCTGAGTTTATTTTTCCAGGACTTGTAGAGCAAGGAAGTTGCAAAGGAAGACCCAATACCTACAACAATTGTTTCACCTTCTCATTTATGCAACAACGCATTCACCCATCCATCCACCATCCACCATCCATCCATCCACCACCCACCATCCATCCATCCACCATCCACCATCCATCCATCTACCACCCACCATCCATCCATCCACCATCCACCATCCATCCACCATCCATGTATCCAGCCAACATCCATCTCTCTATCCATCTGTCCATCCACCATCCACCCATCATTCTATCCAGACATTTATGCCTTGTGCCAGGCAGAGGAATAAAAAGATGGGTAAGATAAGGGCTTAGCTTATAGCTTGGAGTGAGAAGCCCTAAAGGGAAATCAACAATTTCAACATAGTGTGACTGTAATGAGTTAAGAATCAGGAGTGGGTGGTAGAGGGTAGGTATTGCAGATCAGAGAAGCCTTCCAGAAGTAATGCTTAAGGGTTACATGAAGGCAGGACAACAGATGTTAAATGGGATTGTGACTCACAATGTCCTCAAAATCACCTATAAATTAGAACTGTGGTGTTTCTGATATCAGTTTTCCTTGCAGACCTTCTTTGTTATCAGTCACTGTTCAACTAACAGCACCATCGCTGCTAGAGCAAAAGAAACAAATCGGCCAAATCAGTACCCAAACCTCTGGAGTTGCTTGGTTTGTTTCTAAAAATTTGCTTTTGGAAAAATTTTTTTTTTCAGACTAATAAGCATTTCTGAAAATTACCTGATAAAAAAATGTCTTTGGAGGGCCGAGCCCGTGGCGCACTCGGGAGAGTGCGGCGCTGGGAGCGCAGCAGCGCTCCCGCCGCGGGTTCGGATCCTATATAGGGATGACCGGTGCGTTCACAGCGCTCACTGGCTGAGCGCGGTGCAGCCGGTCTCAAAAAGGACCAAAAAAAAAAAAAAAGTCTTTGGATATCCAACTGAGAATTTCATGGGGATAATGACAATTCCTCTTTTCTTCCAATGACTCTGCTGGTTAAATTCCTCTACAGCTTTTTCCCTGCTGTAGTAGAAAGAATTTTCCATACATTTCTCCCAGCATCTTATCAGATTCTTTGGATCAAATTCTTGCTTGTGAATTGTCTTATCAATCATTTTGTACTTGTTAAACTCTCTAACCTGGTGGAAGAAAATGCCAAACTTCACAACAAGATCCACAGAAATTGAGTCTCTGAGATTAGCTGTAGAAAGTTACAGAATCAGTATGAAAGAATGCATTGGAAATAAGCTTTTAAGAGACAATATGATTTTGAGCATTGAAAGACTGCTTTTATGTATTTACAAATCTTTTTTTTATTATTATCAGTTTCTGTTACCTTCTCTGGTAGCAAGTGGCATTTGGCTGCCACAGCTATCATCCAGGTCTCTGACACAAATGCTCCCTGGGGAAAACCGAACCCTTGGAAAGCTGTAGTTGATGGCAAATTGGTCTTGCAGGCTTGGCCTCAGACACGCAGGTTGGGAATCTTATAAGCATTTTCCAGTTTAAGCAGAGCATATTCTATGACATGAAAAGTGTACCAAGGTGAAAAGTGGATTAAAATTATGAAATCTGGATTGGTGCCATCGTAAGCAGGCATTAATCAACTTTCTTATCTGGGCAGGAGAAATGCCAGCCCTTCTGAGATGTGTTTCTCTGCTTGGGTCTCAGCACCACCACAGAGAGGAATCTCACAAGTGCCCTGTCCGCTTAATTGAGTGACCATCTACTTAATTTTAAATTATATGCATTTTACTTATATATGTCCATATTTATGTGGATAGATAGAAGATATTTCTGCAATTTAAACCAATTAATGTTAGAAATGGAAGCAATATTAGCTTTTTAAAAAATTTCCTGACACCCAAAAAGTATTATCAGTATAATGAACTTTAGACATTTTTTTTCTTTAGGCTGGAGAATTCTACTTCTTTAATATTTCCTGGTATCTTTTCCATTTTTTTTTTCTGCATATTTAAAATACGAAGGCTCAAGTATAACCCAAAGTTTCTGATAACAACCCAACCAAAGTGTTTCGGTATTGAAGGCAGACTGACTCTTCCGAATCACATAAATTTTACTCCAGGTGGAAACAAGACTGGAAAGAAGAGACCTGCCGGATGGGCGCAGTCCTTCCCAATGTTTTGTAGAGTTAGGACAAACAACTCTTTGCTGGATCTCAGGACAGCTTCTCTTCCTCCAAGGCAGTATAGCACATATTTGTAATTAAATCAGAATGCATTTGTTTTGGGAACTAAAAATAATAATTTTACATGTCATGAAAACTACAGATGGTGGATTATGAAAATTCCATCCATAAGTGGAATAGGCTGTGTGTTTCTTCCTCTTCTTTTCAGTGTGTATAATTATTTGTTTATATTTTTATTTTTTAATTGATACATAATAATTGTACATATTTACATTTATAATAATATGTACATATTAATATGTACATAATAATACGTACATATAATAATTGTACATATTTATGGGGTACAGTGTGATAGTTCAATGCATGTATACAATGTGTAATGATTAAATCAGGGTAATTAGCATACCCATCACTTCAAACATTTATCATTTCTTTGTGCTGGGAACATTCAAAATCCTCTCTTCTAGCTACTTGAAAATATACAATAAATTGTTAACTGTAAGTTACCCTTCAGTGCCATAGACTCTAGAACTTATTCCTCCTGTCTTGAGCTGTGGATTTGGATCTTAGGGCTCATTAGGAAGCAAAGGTAACAGGCGAGGCTTCCCTCTGATGAGATGACTGTATAGAGAAAAGATGAGTTCTGAAGCTTCTAGAATAGGCAGAAACATTGTGGGGAAAGCCAAATAGGCCGGTGATGTCCTCATACCTATTGTCAAGGGATTAGATGGTGAGTGAAAGGGGCTGTGGGAGGGACTCAGTGTGGTTCGGGCACAGGGCACTGCAGGGGCAGCTGGGCCTGGACAAGGGCCTGGGGTGGGGCCCAGGCTCTGAGCAGGCCAGGGGATGCTGGAATGTGTAGGTAAGAGGCTCTCCCTGGCATAAGCAGAGAGAGATTTGCCTGGGACAGACTCAAACCTCTGCTCTCCTTCCAGACGCCAGGTGTGTCCTTCCCTGATCCCCAGTGGCCTTGCCTAAAGGAAGGGTGTTGAGAAGGAAGAGAATAAGGGAGGATCGAGCTCCGCTCTGTGGAAGTTTTCTGGGGGACAACCTGGGCATTCATCAAAGGGACACACTGCGACTAGAGTGCACAAAGGAAAGTGAGAGTTGGGCGTTCTCCTCAACCCAGGGCCTCAGGCCTGCAGAGCGAGCCAGCAGCTCCTGCTGTCTCACAGACAGAGGGTGGTGGAGATCTAGAAGCTCCCTGAGTCATCCTTGCTCACAATTTACATTCCGTGCAATGTGGGCGTGGGTGGCTGGACACAACAGACCTTCTAAGCCTATACGCTGAGAAACCAAGCTTACCTTCAATCTATCATCACAAATAACCAGAGCCCCAGACGTTTTTGTAAGTCACATACCAGTTCAGAATCATCTGGTGTGCAGCCACCACTGATGTGATACTCAGAGTCTGCCGCCTGTTTTCCCATCGCTCATGAAGCCAGTCTGAGAGGTAGACAACATTTACTTCTGTGAGCGTGTGACACCCCAGTACTGCGGGCCGGGCGTTGGGAGAGCCCCTCCCATTCCCGGTGGGGGTGTGGGCTGGGGGCGCAGACTGCTGGGTGCAAACTCTGCTTCTACCACTGACTGGCTGAGTGACCTTGGGCAGCCCAAGCCACCTTTCTGTGCTTCACTGTCCCCAGGTGTGACAATGAGGACAAAACTAACCAGTGGTTCTCAAACCTTAATGTGCATCGAAGTCACCTGGAGGGTTGTTAAAACATATTTAAAAGAATAAATAGAAGGGAAGAGAAGGGGAGGGGAAGGGAGAGGAAGTATCAGTGCATCACATGTAGCGATAGTAAGCGTTGTCGTGTGTGTGTGTGTGTGTGTGTGTGTGTGTGTGTGTGTGTGTGTGCGTACACTGGGTCCCATCATGTAAAACAGCTTGAATGCTGGCCGAGCACATCCCTTCCTGCTTGCTGGCAGGAGCAGCGTCAGGGACACAGCCGTTCCGTACTGGCCAGCTGTCCTATGGTGTGGAAATTGGCCCTGCTCTTGCATCCACGTTTCTGGCCATGCCTTCCATCAGAGCAGTGGATGACTCTCTGCTCCTTCCTTCCTCAGAAATCAGAGGAGGGGCAGCTCCTGGGTGGGCTGGGCTGGGGTCCAGGCTGCCTACTCGGACATCAGGAAGCTGCAGATGGGGTTGCAGT